ATTCAAATGGAATATATTTAGCTAATTTAAATTGAAAGTTCAGGTGGGGTTTAGGCTGACTAAGGGAGTCTATGTCCTGATTAGCTATATCGATCATCCTTGAGTTTGTAATGTACAGCTAGCAGACTTTCACCATGGGTTTTTGACAGTAATGTTACCATTATTTTGTGATTGTCAAAAACAGGAGTTTGGAAAAAGTAGGCAGTGGGTTTCCATGTACGCCCTCTGTACGCCCTCTGTACACCCTCTGTACACCCTCTTGGTCTCAGAAAAAGAATCTGTATAGCACAAAAAAGAGGCTGCAGTTCTGCCTAGGAGAACTTATTTTATGCTAACTGTATTTAAAGCACAGTTGTAATGTTGCACTGCCTGGGTACACATACTGACCTCTTGTCTGCATGTCTGAAATTGTCTCACATATGCCAATCATCATTAACATGTGTATGACAAAGTTTACGGTCTTCCATGCTGTTGAGTACTGCACAACGCAGTAATCAACTAATTGTGCTTTTGTAGCACCTTTTGTAGGACCGCTATGAAAAAAATTAAATAAAGTTAAAAAAAAACTGCTAACAAGGCAGTTGGTGTCATTCTAGCGGCACTTGGCTGTTACTGAACTGCATACTCCATGAGATTCAAGCAGCTGGAGTTTGTTTAAGCAATGCCTTCAGTGGTCTGTTATGTTAATAATGTTTCCTAAATGATGATGCCTTAATTACAATGTATTATGTTCCATCATTAAACACACTTAAAATACAATTGGTCTAGACTTGGTTGAGACTTTAAAGGGGACCTGAATTGTTGAAGCTGTTCCCAAAAAAGGCAAACAAAGAACAAATATCTATTGACCAGCATTGCCTGTGGTCTCCCTGCAGCTGATATTTTCCCAATTACTGACTTGCCATACTTTGTTCTGTTGCCTTCCTGCTGAGTGATGATTTAATGACTCGTGTAAGAAGCATCAGGAGAGGTGCAAAAATCCCAGATATGCAGAATAAATTAAGCAGACGTGGATAGATTTGTGTGCTACAAATCCTCAGGTACAGCTTTCTTTCCAGAAGGGAGAACACTCTAAATCTCATGAGACTGACTGATGATCTCACATTTCAGATGTACAACAATGGGGTTGATTTACTAACCTTATAAACACACCACGAACGTGTATACACCTCTGCAGTGTGTTCCCTCCCAGCATGATCTATGGGTGGAATCTAAACACCTTTGTAATGTGTACACACCCAGCAGGTGTGTTGTGCAAAGCCCTAAAGGAATTCCAAGGTGATGTTGGGTAAATTAGCTCTATGTTGTGTTGCTTGCGTTGATGAATGCAAGGAATGTAAATGCATGAGCTAACCATTTTTGTCTAAACTGTGAAGCAGCATTATATATGCATCATGTGCATGATTTTTACATATATGGCATTAGTGCAAATATGCTTTTAGAGACTTTTTGGGTGATAAATACGTTTTGCTGTGTGAAAATCACACACATCTGGTGTGTGTGTGTGTTTAGGTTAGTAAATCACCCCCAATGAGTCTCAAGGTGCAGAAGTGCACTGATATGTTTTAGAAGCAATTAAAAGGTGTACATTTTCATGGTGCTCCTTAGGCACAATTAACATTTCTAGATGTTCCCTGGTAAGATAGCAAATCTTCAACTCATGAGTTCAGGTCCACTTTAACTGTGAAAATACAGAAGCCTAAACTGACGATACACCAGTAGAATTTCTTTGGAAAAAAAAAAAATCACTTTTGGAATGTATGTTTGATTTCCTAATAGTTAATGGGGACAAATTGATGATAGTTTTCAAATGTAGTGACATGTGTAATGAAGAGAAAAAAAATCAAGAGTCTTGAACGAACGGAATTCTATTAGTGTATGTGCTCTTCATTCAAGAAACTGCATTAATTCCAAATGTTAAAATCAAATTGAATTTTGAAGGACATTTTACAAGCACTGGCGGAACTACCAGGGTCGCGGCGGTCGCAATTGCGACCGGGCTGTATGATATTCATGTACAAGATGCTGAATGGTGACAGCAACATTGGCAACAAACTGTTTGAGATGAACTCCTTTACAAACACTAGAGGCCACCACCTAAAGTTGGTGGAGAAAAATGGGCGAAGAGGGTTCTTTACAGTAAGAGCGGTTAAGGTCTGGAACTCACTGCCATGGGCAGTGATTTCAGCCAAGAGTGTAGTTTTGTTCAAGAAACGTTTGGACAATTTCTTGAGGGACCGTAATATCCAGGGATACCAGTATCCCTAAGAATGAGATGATGCATGGACCTATATGGGTTGGACTTGATGGACGTATGTTTTATTCAACCCCAAATACTATGTAACTATGTAATATTATCGAGGAAACCGGGATTTATTCACAAAGTATTTTGTTCAAATCGTTAATTGTGACCGATATTCTATCCATCATTTCCTGCCACCCATCATTTACTGCCATGGACGGCATATCATTAACGGTCACAATTAACCATTACAAACAAATACTTTGTAAATAAATGCCGGTTTCCTCGTTAATCCCGTCTGTACATAAACACAGATACTGGGTCAGTGTTCTCGACAGAACACAGGCACTAAAATTTTAAACAAGCAACTGCCTGAGGCCCCACGCTTGCTGGGGACCTTGGCAGCCTTCCTGTTAACCATGCAGTGCCATGGGGTTGGGGGGGGGGACCCTTCATGGTTTCTTGCACTGGGGCCCTGAAGGTTCTAGTTATTCCTCTGTCTACAAGTTTCCGATCGCATTGTCAAACGTTCTGATATTTTTCATATGAACATTTCTTTGAACAACTAGCAGGGTATGGCCAGCTCTAGACAGTACATTCTAGAGGAACAGATAACTTGTCTTTAGCAAACACATATTTTTTTGTTTTAGTTTTGAATAGACTTAATTGCTGACTCCTGACTTTATTTATCTTACATGAATCTTGGTGTGCTTTGTATATTTCTTCCAGTCAACTTGTTCAGTAATCCAGTGTGAGATTTTCACCATGTGCAGGAGCTTCCTGTAAAATAAACCAGTCACTTTTGCTCATTCTCCTTGTGCAGGGTGCGTGGTCTTGTATCTGCCCCCCCACAGTGAAAGTTTGTTTTAGAGCATGGATTTACTCCAACTTTTACTTACAATATTATTCCAAATAGATACTGTTTAGGCAGGTTGGAAGATTCATATTTATTCAAGGATGGCATTGGCATGTGCATGAGGTTCTCATGTGATCATTCACCAAGTCCTTCATAAAGCTGTCCATACACTGGTAGACACTGGTAGATTTTTTTGCAAATGTTCATATGAAAACAAGACTTGACAAATGTTGTTCGAAATGTGGTTTCAAATTAATATTCAATTTTGCAATGAATGGAGTTTCTCCAACGTTAACCACATTCAATGGTAAAATTTCAATTGTCCGAATAATAACTTTCCATCTTACGCTATCAATTATTTTAGTCACTACATTCAAAAAAGATTGTCAATTAGATAACCATTAGAAAATTTAGCAAAGATTCAAAAAAATTGATGGCCAAAGTGTATGGCCATTCATTACCTTGCTTAGGAAGCCTGAATCTGTCAGGTTTGGTCATTCACAAGGACAATTACTCAGTGACTCTTGACAGATATAGGTGGTACGGGCATATGTTCATTTCCTGTATAAACAATAGATTTGTCATATTTCCTGGATTAATGAGCTTGGCTAATGGTACCTTGTTGTGCATGTACTGCAAAATTTTAGTTCCCTTTCCTGTTTAGAAATGGAAACAGTTGCAAAAGGATTACAGAACATTTTCCAAAATTTCTGTGTGTAGCAAGCAATACGTCTAGCAATTGCAGAGTCCCAACATCGACACTAAATGGAGAAAAAAAAAAAATAGATCTGTAAAAGGCAAATATAACTCATAGATGCACCAGCTTATTTGGAAATCACAAGGCAGTTTACATAGTCCAGAACAAGAAAGCAAATTTGAAGATCCAAGGAATATGTGTTACAACTGAAAAAGAAAGGCTCAAAAACATTAGGCTTAAAGTGACACTCAGCTCAGGACTTAAATCCTATAAATGCATTCAAGTACCTTAACTCTTAACAAAAATGTATCTTATTTGTGTATCACTCAGCTGTAGATCCTCAAATCATCTACGAATTCATGCTGGCACTGTCCATCCTTCTGGAGGATTGCTACCTTTGTGCCCCATGGTGGCTGTTGTAAAGTAGCCACCTCTCCGAGATCGCTCCCGTGTTGGACTACAATCTCAGTACAAATTAATAAACAAACATGACATTGTAGTCTATCACTGGAGTGAATTTTGAGGGGTGGCCACTTTACAACACACACAAGAACCATATAGAACACAAAGTAGCCACTCTACAGAAGGAAGGACAGTGTCATCGGAAATTCAGAGATGATTTGAAGATCTTCAGCCGAGTGATAACAAAAATGTAGCTATAATCGAACTTAATAATCGGCCAACTAATCGATTATGAAAATAATCGTTAGCTGCAGCCCTAAATTTGTGTAAGAGTTAAGGTTCTTGAATGTATTTTTACGATTTAACTCCTGAGTTTAGTGTCACTTTAAGTGCTAATGTTGTTAGCGCAGTGTATTTTTATTTGTTAGTACTTAATATTTAACTAGGTTTTGTTCTGCTCAAACCCTTTGTTCTATTCTTGCCTCACGGGTATTTGAAAATAAAACACTGTGGGTGTGTGTTTAATGACCCTTCTTGTGTATGGTCATGCAGAATCACATGACATTCTGCATTTTGGTATGCTTGAATGTCAATTGTTAAAGTGTGTGCTTACACAGGGAAAGCCCTAAATGAGATCCTCATTACAGGCTGTTATTAAGAATCCTGAGAAACCAGTCTAACAGACAAGCAAAATTATTTTCCTAAGTGAATCACATAAGTCTGTTTCCTTTAAGGGTTTCAACTCTAGGTATAACTTTATTCGTTTGGCTGATAGAGATGTTGACTCGTGTCTTGTTTTTCAGTTACATCAAACTGCATGTGTGAACTGGGATGTTGTCATGGACAGACCTCACCACCTAGAAGACCAGAACAGTCACCTTTGTAAAATGCAAGGGCAGGAATATCAACATGACAGCCAAGTAAGTTTAGCTGAAATACCTGTACAGGAATCTTTTTTTCAGAAAGTTTTAAGTAAGCTCACCTGGTGATCACAGTATACATGTTTTAAATGTGTTTTATATTGCATATAAAGTGCATCAATTAAATATAAGGATCTACAGCTCTTTTGGCTACTTCTACTGGATACAGAAGTGACATAGTAACAGTAATGTGCACTTCTTCAAACTTGCACTGGACTACAAATCCCAAGGTCCCTTTCTGCCAGTGGCTGCTCTGAGGCTTGTCCTTCAATGAAGGGTTAGGTGTACATGCAAGTGAGCTTGGCATGTGCATACACACTTGTAGACAGCAGTGGGTGCACACATCCTATGGTTAAAAAAAAAGGGCTAATACTGGCAGGATCAACAGGTTCAAATAAAATAAAAAACTTGCACATTGAAAAAAAAATGACCCTACAAAAGTAAAGTTGTTAATAAGATAGCAAAAAAACATTTTTGGAACTTTGGGTGTAGATACACATTACCATTTAAAAGACATAAATAAATCCAGCTCTATAATTATTCATACATCATTAACGGTATATTTTATGCAAGCAGAGTACTTTCATTTGACTTGGTATCCACCTCTTGCAGTGCCTATACAACAGAACTCAGAGAGGAGGAGAGAGAAGCAGCACAAGGAGCCAGTCAGGAGCCTGTCAGCATACTTATAGCACACTTACCTTAAAAGAGTGCTTCTCCAATGCTGTGTGATGCAGGCTCCCTGCTCTGTCCCCCACTGCTGCCATCTCTGCCTGCTACTTCTGGTTTTCCAGGCATCCTTCTTGGTCATTGTGTGGCCACTGATGATTTAACTCCTACACATAAGCACAGGAGTTACATCGGCGCCGACACTTGGCCTATCCTACAGATACCGGGAATGAGCCAAGAGTTTATACACTTTAAAAAGTTGCTAGGAGTAGAAGAAAGAAGTTTTGTGGAAGAAAGATACTTTGCAAAGTCTCTTCTGCCAACAATCCTTACCTCTTAGCAATGGTTTTTTTAAAATTTACAGTTTAATTCTGCTCTAAGATAACAAAGTAATAAATCTATTTTTACATCCCTTTGATCTGCAGTTACATAGAGTAAAAAAAAGACAACAAAAACATAAAAATTTTACTTTGTATCTCTGAATCTGAATCTTGTTTTTTAATTTTGACAGCAGTAGCTAGAGGAGGCTGTTACATATATCCTGTAATTTTAATGGCTGGAATTACCAGTAAATGTGGCTGGGGGAGCGGCAGTGGTGGTGGAAGGACAGGGCGTGCTACATACACCCTCTGTAGTTTGAGAAAGTTTTTTTGGACGCAGGGAGTGTGTCTGAGGTACAATACTGGTTAAAAATAGTAAGACAAGACAAGAAGGGTGGTCAGGGGAAGTGATTTACTATGTACCATATATCATATATAATATTTAAAGAGAAAAGAAACAGTGGTATACAATGGATACATACAAGAAAATACCAATTTACAAAATAAAACAATGTGTTTTATTGTGTTTATTAATTTCAGTACAGCGCTGCATGACGGAATAAATGTCAGTCAAAGTACCGCAGCGCTGAATACTGAAAAATGGCCTGGATGGGAAGGGGGTTTAACACCGCGGATGTCAACTGGTTAAAATAGAGATCTCAAGTACTTTTCTTAAAAAACTATAGTTTCAAAGATATGCATGATTCAATGTCATATACTTGTATACATCATAAATAGAATAGCACATATTAATATTCATGATGTGCTCATATACTGTAAATAACATAAATGTTGCAAATATAGATGTTCATCCAACATGTTTCTTTGAGCAAAGTCCACTTTTTCAAGGATACATGTACACTACAGAAGGTACCTCTTGTAAAGAAAATCAACAATAGGTAATTATGCAAATCACTTTACATAAGTCCACTCTTTCAAGGATACAAATTTTGTAATCATGTAAACCACACATGTAAAGATGAGATAGTATATGATATGATTGCATTAATTTTACACAGTATTGTATGTTAACCTTATACTCCCGTGCCAAACTGTGAGGATGGGCCAAGCTTCAGCATCTTGCTGGTCGGCCCAGCTGGCTCTAAAAACACCTGGACAATGCCTGCATCCAATCAGATTGTTCAGGTATTTTGACAGCTAGCAGGGCCGACTAGCAAGACACTGAAGCTTGGCGCAGTGGGAGATTCCTCCATCCACACAGTTTAGTTGGAGGAATCTTTTGCACTTTTTCCATCTGACCATAGAACATCTGCAGAAAATCTTTAGGTGTATGGGCAGCTTTAGCTTGCCTGCATTAACATTCAATGCATAACCATAGCCTCAAGATCTTTAACCCTTTCTTAGGGCTGTTAGAGTTCAAATCTAGTTTACGAATGATAATGAGATTTACCAGCACAGGACATACAGAGTTAATTATTGTACACAAAATTCTTAGGGAGGGGGACTCCTTAACATAGCAGTAGAAAACATCAGTTTTGGAGTTTTCCGGAAAAAATAAAAATACAAATGTAAGCAGCAATTTTTATTTTTTTATGCTATGTAAATGGGAACATGTAACAAATATAAAATAGATGTTATCTAAATTTGGCTGCAAAAGGAAGTGAACACCTTTTCACCATTTTTACTATATGGACCATTTATATAATATTGAAGGTTATCATATCTCCACCCCACCCACTTAATCGCCTTTTCTAGAGGGAGAGTAATTTCAGCTCTGTTAAGCTTTTTCTCTTAGCTGAGGTCCTCTTTCTGCCTTATCAATTTAGTTGCCCTTATGTGCACTCTCTGAAGTTCCTAATATCCTTTTTGTGAACTGGAGCCCATAACTGAACTGCATATTCCAGATGAGGTCTTACTAATACTTTGTGCACGGGTAAGGTTATGTCTCTTTCTCTCTTCAAATCTTCTTTTAATACAGAAAAGTATCTTGCTTTTTCTAGTAGCTGCAGACTGGCACTGCATACTGTTATAAAGTCTATGACCCACCAGAACACCCAGATACTTAATCAACATTGTCCCTCAATTGCAATGTAGTTGTTTAATTAAACGATGCATCCAGGTCATCTTGTAAGTCAGAAACTTTTTGTAGGGACTTTATTCCACCACATATCTGTTTAGCTGTACAATTTCTTTCTTTGTACAAGACAAAGTAGTATTAAACTCTCCGACTTTTTTTTAAATGAATCTGCATCAAACATATATAAATTGCCCAGCAAGGCACAGTCTCCAGCAGATGTCCATCCACTAGTTTGGAGAAGGGAGGAAGGTGGAGTGGGGGGCAGAGAGCAGGGGAATGGCTTGCCTTGTTGTGCCTGGGTGTTTTGTGAAGACACACACAGCTTACTAGCACACCATGGGATTCTGCAAGGGAAAGGAGCAACACTAACATAGTATATCTGGGCCAATGCTCAGAGGACCAGCTGATTCTGCAGGAAACTAAAACATTTAAACATCAAGGAACAGCATCCATTGTAAGTGACTTAATACTGTAGCTTAAACCCTTTTGATTTTAATATCACTTTAAACTCAAACTCTTATTTATAAACTGGTTAAAATGTAATGGTCGATACCCCTTCTACTTTTTCTGAAGTTATATGGGTTACAGTGGCAACATGTTTGTCCTACAATATTCCTTGTTCAAGTTACTTTAACTGTATAGTTCCTTGTTACGTCTGACAACTCAATTACTGATTATCACATCAGGACACCTAAAGCTGGCCATACATTGCAAATTTCTTTTTGGTCTTAATTAACCAGCCAAAATTTGCTCAGTGGGTAGCTCTGTTGGCAGCCCTCTGTTCAGCATCCTTGGATAAGAAAATGGAAAGAACCGATTAGAAATATTTTGTAAGAACACTGACGGCAGCCAATCAGCTGCTGTCACTGTTCGGGCATTCTGGCAGCAGCACACCTGCCACTGCCAGAATACAATAACCCAGCAGGAGACTCATGCAGTTTAGCGTGGATGGAGTAATCAGTTATATTTTTTTTTAGTTCAGCCCGCAGTTTCAACAAAAAGAATATAACAGAGTATGGCCAGCTTAAAGTGCCAAGAAACTCGGGAGTTACATCTTAAAAATCCATTAAAGTACCTTTTCTATTAACAAAAATGTAGCTCATTTGCGTATCACTCGGCTGTAGACCCTCAAATTATTTCTGAGTTTTATGCTGTCCTTTCTTCTGGAGGGTGGCTCCAAGCTCGCTCCCGTGATGGACTACAATCTCATATTTAGTTTACTAATTTGTAGGGAGATTGTAGTCCATCACGGGAGTGATCTTGGAGCGCTGGCTACTTTACAACACACACAGGGACCATAGGGAACAAATGTAGCCACCCTCCAGAAAGAAGGACAGTGTCCGCGTAAAATTCAGAGATGATTTGAGGATCTACATTTGAGTGACACACAAATAAGCTATATTTTTGTTACTAGTTAATGTATTTGAATGCATTTTTAAGATTTAACTCCTGAGTTTAGTGTCACTTTAAGTATTTTCTGTGATCTGGCAAATAAATGTCCTGTATGAGGACACTGGTACGATTATATTTAATCACAAAGAAAATAAGTTCAAAATAAACCATTGGTTCTGCTTTTTTCCCCCGGTCCTGACGTTCCAATGTTCTTAGAATCCTGTTGAGTTTTTTTAAGAGGCAAAATTTCCATAATGATTTAATGACTGCTAATAGGCCAAATTCTGACGGCAAATATAGTTCTGCTTTGCTATGAAGTGCATTATAATGCTTGTAATCCTGCAGTTAAGGTATATTAGGTGGTAATAGAGACCAGATGTTCCAGTGTATTACTCATAGAAAACATTCAGCTCTGGCGATACGCTTATTGTGCTGAATTGTGTGTCAGTGAAATTGTAACACGGCAGGGTTTTAATAAAAGTGTTGTACTTTTATTGGCATTCTGTGCCCAGCTTATTTTATGTACCATTGTTTGTGCCTAAACACTGTTTTAGTGAAGGACAAAGAATTTGCAGGACAGT